CTCCCTCATTCCTCCTCCTTCCCCCTTCCTGTCCCCTCCTCCTCGTGTCCCCCCCTTGCCCCTCCTACTCCCCCTCCTTGTTCCCCCCTTTCTCCTCCTCCTTATTCCTCCCTTCTTGTCCCCCTCCCTGTCCCCCCTTCCCCGGGTGGGGACCCCCAGCCACCCCCTCCGTGTGTCCCCGTGTCCCCCCGGGCCGGAGGTGTCGGGGTCACACCAGGCCGGGGAGTCCGGGGGGGCCACAAAGCCACGACCGACTCATCAACCACCTCTGAGTCACCAGGGCCGTGTCCCCACGTCACCCCCTGTCCCCCCCGGCTCCCGGAGGGGTCTTGGGCCCCACAGCCCCGTGTCCCCGTGTGCCCCTGTGTCCTGAGGGGTCCTTTGTCCCCGATGTTGGGTGTCCCGAGGGTCCCTTGTCCCTGTGTGCCCCCCTGACACGGAGGGTCCCAGTTCCGGGGGGACCCTTCTCCCAGGGGTCCCCTGTCCCAAGGTTGTCCCTGGGCTGTCCCTTGTCCCCTTGGTCTTGGGGCCCCTTGTCCCCCGTGTTCCCATGTCCCTTGGGGCCCCTTGTCCCCCGTGTTCCCGTGTCCCTTGGGGTCCCCTTGTCCCCTCGGGTCCCCTGACCCCATATCCTTTATGTCCTTTGTCCTGGGGTCCCGTGTCTCCTGTGTCCCCCCGTGTTACTGGGGGTCCCTTGTTCCTCGGGTGTCCCTCATCCCCAGTGCTCCCTTGTCCCCCACGTGTCCCCGTGTCCCTGGAGCTCCCTTGTCCCCAGGGTCCCTTGTCCCCAGGGTCAGTAGACGTAAGTGAGGCTGCTGGAAAAGGGGCTTTATTTTAAATTAAAGTCAATAAATAAAAATACTTAATAACAAACAATAATAATAATAATAATAATAATAGTAATGATGTAGAAAAAGAGGCACCGGCAGCAGCTGGAGTCGCTCCAGTGCCTGGGGACAGTTGTGGGGTCCCCCCATGGGGGTCCCGTGTGATCTGGGGGGGGTCCCAGAGGGGTCCTGCTGAGGTCCCGATTGTGTCCGTGCGGTCCTGGGGATCCCTGAGGGGGTCCGTGGGATCCTGGGGGGGTCTGTGGGATGGGTCGTGGTGGGGCCTGGGGGGTCCTTGTGCTGTCTCCGTGGGGTCCTGGTTGTGTCCGTGGGGTCCTGCTGAGGCTGGTGGGGTCTGTGGGGTCCCAGGAGCCCTTGTGGGGGTCCCGCTGGGGTCCTGGTGAGGTCCTGGTCGCGTCCATGGGGTGTTGGGGTGGTCCTGGGGGTCCCGGTGGGGTCCGGGGGTCCCTAACAGGCGGGGTCCCCCTCGAGGTGGGCGGCGATCCCCTCCAGGCACCCCCGGAGCCGCACCAGGGCCACCCCGGCCACGGTGTGGGGAGCCTCGGCCAGCGGGGCCGGGGGGGCCGGGGGGGGGTCGCGGGGCGGGGGACAGCCCAGCAGGGCCCCCAGGACCCCCAGGAGGCTGTGCAGGTTCTCCAGGTCGTTGGCCACCTGTGCCAGGCGCAGGTCACCCCCGGGCACCGCCCCCAGGAGCCGCTGGAACAGCTGGAGCCGCTGGGCTGCCACCCCCAGCCCCGCCGGGACCCCCCCGTCCGGGACACCCCCCTCCGGGACCCCCTCCAGGCCGGTGACACGCAGGGTCAGGGGGAACAGCTGGGGGGGCACAAAGGGGGGTGTTAGGGCAGGG